GTTTTACCACCGGTACAAGATTAAGAGGTGTTTCAGACATACAGTAAAAGATGTGTAGGTAAACCGAGACGAAATATATTTTATCATACAGAACTAACCGGAGGTCCGATCAAGGCGTGCAGCGTACCCAGACGACCGTCTCGACAAGAGCTTTCCAACTCCGCCGAGATCACCACCGTAAGGTCCCAGGACTGCATGCTTGTTTCCATTCGTTTTGCACCCGTTTGATTCGGTTTCCGATCCGATCTTGTTCGTGTAACCCTAAGACGCGATTTGCAGTCTATATTTCATTGGTGTGCTGTGTACGGCCATCCAGAAAATCAGCCAGATCGCCATAAATTTTAAGCAGTAAGTTTTCTACGCAAACCTTTAGATCCGCTGCGCACAGGTTTACATTTGCTATTGAATTCGTGATTTGTACATAACGAGATCCTTATAGATCCCAACAGAAACCACCCATAACTGGTCCTAAATGATAAATGAGAGTCATGGTGTAGAATTGTAGAGTGTGATTGTAGAAGTCTAGGAGGACCCTCTACAATTCCCCAGTTGAAGGATAATTTGAAATCCTACCTTCCTAATTTTATGTTTCTCTCAGAAGTAAAAAAAAAATAATAATAATAATAATATTTTGTTAGCACTGTTTGTAGGAATCTGCCTTTTATTAGCAACTGGGAGTATGTGGCACCCCATGGGTAGAAAAGTTGGTCGTTTGTTAGGGTGGTCCTATAGAGTTAATATTCTGAAGGTTATTAGTCATAATTTTTGTATTAAAGTTTGCTTTAATTGGGGTAGTGATGTTGATAAGTTGTGGGCTATCTTCATTTATGCTAGTGTATATCCCATTGAAAGACAGTCTCAATGGGACTTTTTGCTTAATTCTCAGTCTTCTTGGTAGGATGTTTTGTTTCTAGAAGGGGATTTCAATGACATCTTGAACAATAGGTAAAAGTACGGGTGTCTAGTTAGAAGTGAGGTTAGTTTTCTTAGCTTTAGAGGATTTGTTCAGGACCTGTGTGTATGAATGCCTAGTGGTGGGGCACCCTGGTCTAATGGTAGGCAAGGGCAGGACTTTATTAAGGAAAAGCTTGATAGATTCTTGTTTTCTCCTGAGTGGCTTCTCAAATTCCCTATATCCTCAGTTCTCCATATTTCCATGATATCATCGTATCACAGTGTTCTATTAATGGAAACTGACGGTCAAGAAAAACACAGTAGAAAGAGGTTTTGTTTTGATAGAAGATGGGCTAAATCTGAGGGGTATGCAGAGTGTGTTGCAAAGGCCTGGGAGCTTCCTGTTCATGGTAGAGGTTTATACAGCTTCCAGCAAAAGTTCCGACATGTCAAGATGAGTTTATTGGGATGGTTAGCTAATCAGCAGACCAACTCTTCTAAGCATATTTAGAGATGTAATACCAAGCTTGAATTATTAGGGCAGCAAGGGGGTACAAGAGATTGGGAGAAATGGTTTCAGTGCAAGCAGAGATTACATCAAGCATATCTAGATGAAGCGGTATACTGTAAATCCAAATCTAGGCTTAAGGAAGGGGATAAAAACACAAGGTTCTTCCAGGCATGTGTTAAGCAAAGAAGAGGGAATAATGCATTGGGCAGTTTGCTGAACAGTTGTGGGAAGAATGTCAGAACAAAGATGATACTACTGAAGTGATATCAGATTATTTCCAGAAATTGTTCCAGCAAGAGAATCTTGTGTTTGAGGAAGATGTGCTCAAAGGTATTACTGTTTCGATCACTCCAGCTATGAATCTCAAACTCACTAGAACTATGGATGATCAGGAGATCAAATTTGCCCTGTGGGATATAGAACCTAGCAAGGCCCCAGGTATTGATGGTTTTTCTCTTACTTTTTTCCAATCTTCTTGGGTGTTAATTAAATCTGATCTTTGTAGTGCTATAAAAAATTTCTTTTCTGCCGTTGTGATTCCTAAAGCTACCAACCATACAGTCATTACCCTCATACCTAAAATAAAAAACCCCCAAAAAGTCTCTGATTTCAGGCCCAAAAGCCTTTGTATTGTGACTTAGAATTATAGCCAAAATCTTCTCTACTAGACTTAAGAATGTTTTCAATGTCTGTATCTCAATTCCAAGATGCTTTTGTCCCATATAGGCAGATATTAGATAATGTTATTTTGGGTAATGAATGTATCCATTTTTTTAATAGTAAAAGAAAAGGCAAAAAAGGATACACAACTCATAAAATTGATATGGCCAAAGATTTTGATAGGGTAGAATGATCCTTTCTTATTCAGGTTTGTAGGAAAATGGGATTTCATGATACCGTTCTCTATTGGATTTGGGTCCGTCTTAGCTCTTCCTCATTCTCTTTCAATATTGAGGGTCAGGCTCTTGGGAATGTCATACCCTCTAGGAGTATTAGGCAGGGAGACCCTTTGTCTCCCTACCTTTTCATTATCTTATCTGAGGCTCTATCTAACTTTCTGCATCAAGCCTGCCTCTTTTCAAATTTCCAGGGGTTAAAAATCAGTAGAAACTCCCCTAGTATTTCTCAACTATTTTTTGTGGATGATGATCTCATTTTCTGTCAAGCTGACATGTTCCATGCTCAAACTCTTCTTCACATTTTGAATTCTTACTACTCAGTCTCAGGTCAAGCCATAAACCTTCACCAATCAAACATCTTCAGCCAACACCCCTGAACCATTAAAAGCTGATATTTGTTACATCTTCCAAGGTATTGTGTTGGCCAGAAGCTCTAGATACTTAGGGCTCCCTTTAGGTATAGGCAGAAATAAAAAGCAAACTTTTGAATTTGTGAAAGAGTGTATGAAGTCCAAGATCTTTAGTTGGAAGAACAAGTTCTTAGTGAGGCACGCAAAGAGACTCTTATCAAAACTACCCTTGGTGGAGTTTAAGTTATGTCAGTTTTCAGGTTACCTGTGGGAGTTTGTCAGGATATTTGTAGAGAAATAGCAGGGTTCTGGTGGGGTAAGTCTGAGAAGGGGAGTAGCAGGATCCACTGGGCTAATTGGGATGTCGTAGTCAGACATAGGTGAAAGGGGGGATTAGGTTTTAGATATATTAGGGATTTCAATGAGGCCATACTTATTAGGCAACTATGGAGAGTTCTGACTAAACCAAATTGCCTAATGAGTCAAGTCCTCAGGGTAGATATTTTTTGCAGTAGTATTATTTACCATTACTAAGAAGAGTTCTGATTCCTGGATGTAGAAATGTTGGCTAGATGTTAGTCTTCTCTAAGGCTGGGGATTAGGTTTCAGGTGGGTTCTGGGAATTCTATAGATGTGCGGAAATCTCCTTGGGTCCCAAACATACCACTTTTTATTCCAGAGTGCACTTATGCAGGTGATGAGTTGTGGATTCAAAAAGTGTCAGATCTTTTTGTAGCTAATGGTTTTACAAGGAATACTGAGTTGGTAAAGCAGACATTCAGCCCCCCTGTTGCCTCACAAATTCTGCAACTTCATATTAGCCAAAGGGGTAATCCAGATAAGCTGATTTGGCACACTCACAAGAAGGGCCATTTTTCTCTCAAATAAGCTTATAGAACAATTAGAGAGAAGAAGAAAATTGTTGCAGGAAGACTGGGGACAAGCAGTGGCAGAGAGATCAACATGAAATGCATTTGGAGGAAAACCCGATGCTTGCCTGTTAAACCAAAAGTAAGAAACTTCCTGTGGAAGTGTTGGCACAACTGGTTAGGTACAAACTCTAATCTGCTCAGAAAAGGAGTTTTGACTGATGTGCTCTGCTGTTGGTGTGGGGAATATGAGGAAACTCTTGAGCATATGTTGTTTCTGTGTCCAAGAGCAAAAAATGTGTGGAAACTAGTAGGCATTTGGTGGCATAAGTTGCAGTCTGACAACATTTGCTTCAAGGATTGGTGGGAGGACCTATGCAGCATCAATGACACTACCACCAATAGGGATAGAATCTCTCTCTCTACATACCTCCTATGGTGGTTGTGGAGAACTAAGAACTCTTGGATATTTAATAAGGAGCAAGTCTCTAAGCAGATGCTAGTTGAAGGAGCCAAGAGAGAGTGGTTAGAATTTGAGGCTGCAAATGATACACACAGGGAAGTGGACAGGAAGAAGGGAGTAGGGTATCACTCCAGTATTCTCAGTGCTAGTGTTACCAGTCACACCACCTGGAAGATCAGAGGCATAGCTATTACATCTGATGCTCAAAAGATTCAGTGGTTTGTCAAGAGAAATCATTTAGCTCAATGCCAGACTGAGGACTCTTTAATCCAAATGAGACAATGGCTTTTCCTGGGAGTTGAACAGAAATGGCTCACAACATAAATCTTCATAAAGGATGAGACTCTGAGATTGAAGTTAGCCAAGAGGTTACCTTTTGCTTGGAGTTTGGAGATACTGGTTATGAATATTCACTCCCTTTCTGCAGAATACCAATTTGTTTCATTTCCACATATCTCAAAGCCTTAGTCTGGCTTGGAGTTTGGTTGTGTTGGGTTGTTTTGTATTTGTCTTGGTTCTTTTTTCTTTTATTGTCTTGGTGTGATTTTTTCTCTTCATGTTGTAGTTTCTCTGCGGTACTCCTTGCAGTGTGTTT